AGAAAGAAAGAAAGAAAGAAAGAAAGAAAGAAAGAAAGAAAGAAAGAAAGAAAGAAAGAAAGAAAGAAAGAAAGAAAGAAAGAAAATAGATAAGATTCCAGGTCACAGAAAAATTCCTACAACAAGAATAGACAGTGAGAAATGCCTCTGAAAGTGCTACAACAAGAGATTTAATTGATTGGATTAATCAACACACTTTAAAAAATATTTCCCTGGAAATCAGGTGCCAGTTACAACTGTTAATATAAAAGCTATAAAAGAAGCATACCTTGTTAGATAACAATGCCTTTAAAGAAGAGATGTTTCCCACTATGGAACTATTGTTTGGACTAATGGGTCAACCTTATCTGCAGATCAAGATTAATTCCAATTCAATGCAACACATCTCTTTAGCTCAGAGAAACAAAAAAAAGCCTCTCTCCAACTCTTTTGTTCCACAAGTTCTATCATTCTGAGCCAGGGCTGTTCAAGTGCCACAGAAAGACTCTTAATCTTAGTTGAGACAAAAAGTTGAGTTTTTTCTCATCCTAGTAAAACACACACACACACACACACACACCAAAAATGTTCATTTATTTGATAGTTCACAACCCTAAAACCTCAAGAGCTTGTACCTACCATACAGTAAACCCAGAGCCAGTCCTACATCTGCCTGAGTGAAGCCCAGGGTAATTCTTTTGTGCTTCAGTTCCTTAGCAAATTGTTCCAGCTCTTCTGTAGTAGTTGTTTCCTAAAAGGGAAAAAAAAGCAAAGAAAAAGAAGCACTTTGATTGATTGCTGTCCATTTCAAGACAGCAATAAGGCCTTTTTGATGCACGCTCATTTTTCAGAAAAGTTAGAACTTTTGGCTAAATGTCTATGGAGTTTCTCAATCATCCAGGTCATGGTTGCCCCAAAGGTGGGGTTTTTTGTTTTGTTGGGTTTTTTTGCAAAGGGCAACTGGACTTTCTTGGTTTTTCCTTTGAAAATACTTCGCTTCTCATCCAAGAAGCTTCTTCTATTCAGTTCAGAACTGAATAAGGTTCTTGGACGAGAAGCAAAACATTTTTAAAGGAAAAAAAAACCTCCAAGAGAAGTCCAGTTGCTTTTTGGAAAAGGAATACCTTTGGGACAACTGTTCTCCCTCATCTGGAATTTGTTTGGGCGATTTTTAAATTTTTTGCTCCTACTACCTCATCTGGAATATACTGCATATTTACTTATTTTTTAAATTGTAAAAAAATTAAGGGGGGTGGGGGCAGGTTCAATACCACCTTCCTATATAGAAGCTCCCTGAGTGATTTTTGAACCAGTCACTATTTCTGGTTTGGTTCTGCAACCGAACAAGACAGACACAAACTTCAGAGGATAATTAGGACTGTAGAAAAAACAATTGCTACCTTCAATCGGGACCTGTATCCTGCACGAGTCAAAAAGAGGGCTGTGAAAATATTTACAGACCCCTCACATCCCAGACATAAACTGTTTCAGCTCCTTCTCTCAAAACGAACTGCACACCAGAACAGCTGGACACAAGAACAGTTTTTTCCCCGAAAGCCATCACTCTGCTAAACAAATAATTCCCTCAACACTGTCCAATTACTTACAAAGTCTGTGCTACTATTACTATTAATCTTCTCATCATTCCTTATCACCCATCCCCTCACATATGACTATCATTAAGTGTTGTACCATATGATTCTTGATGAATGTATCTTTTCTTTTTATGTACAGCGAGAGCATTTGCACCAAGACAAATTCTTTGTGTGTCTAATCATACTTGGCCAATAAAGAATTCATTCGTTCGGTTATTTCTTACCTACACCCATTAGGGGGAAACCTGATGAAGAAGGGATTGACATCTAACCATTAAACAAATGTTAATATATATTATATTATATAAATATATATAAATGTACTTTTATCCTGATTAGTATAAAAGGGAGATTGTATATGTACCTACATGATGCAATGTGTGTGTGTGTGTGTGTACACATTATATCATATAGGTACATATACAATCTCATACTAATCAGGATAAAACCACCAAACTCAAGACTTGAGAACAGTGGTTTTAATTCTCATAATCTGTTTAAGAGCCGATGTTGTAAGAGACTTGAATGAAAAGATTCCATGCCAGACAAATGGGTAGTTGGTAAATCAGAAGAATCCAATGGATTCCTTTCAAATCACTAGAAATCAATCACATCAACAGATCTCAATGCTTCTTCATACCCGAACCTCTCCCTGCTGGAGTGATTTATTAAATTTCTTGCTACAAAGCAAGAGTTCAAGCTCAGATATCACTTTCATTGTTTCTAATCTATTTCTTTCTCACTCTTTGGAGCAGTCACAGTAGATAAATCTCCAACAGACAATTCCAATCTCCAGCAGACAATCCCGGGGACAATCACACATTTATTTATCATAAAGGAATCCAACCAACAGGCTTGGCTTTTTTTGTGTGTTGCTTCCAAAAATAGTAACCACCCAATCTTTCTAGCCTGGGGCTTACTTAATTGCCCATCAGAGTTAATCATATCTACCCCAGAAGAAATCTGCCAGGTTTTTTCCATCCCCTCAAGCTCACATTCTTCTTAACTATCAAGGACAGACTCCAAGGGATAGTTAAAATAAGACGTGTGGAAGGAACAACTGGAACCAGCAATTGCCTTCCATGGAAGACTTGTATATTGTGTGGGTAGGAAGGAGAACTGGGAAAATATCTGCAGTCCCCCTCACATCCTGGACATTAAAGTGGTTCAACCTCTTCCCTCTGGACCTTGCTATAGGGCACTGCAGGCCAAAAGCAATGCCATCGCTCTGCTGATCATCTAATTCTCACCATGCTGTCTAATGTCGATGCATGCATACCCATGAAGTAGGACTGTAATATTATTATTTGGCCTTTTGATTATCTTCTTTCCTTTCCTTTTTATTGGTATTAAAAAAATATAAGTATTGAGTGCTTCTGTACAAGTCTGTGTATCTAATTACAAATAAAGTATTCAATTCAATTCAATTTGATCCAATCCAATCTTGTTTCTGCTACAAAAATAGCATTATGGCTAGCACGATGCTTGATTCGTCAATCAACCAGAATAAGGGAAGGGAGATCTTGGAGATCTCTGAATCCTAAGCCCTTGGCTCAAGCAGGAGATCCTATAGTACCTGGACTGGCTGCCCAGTCTCTTCTTTAAAAAACCCCAGTGATGAAGCACCCATAACTTCTGAAGGCAAAGCTGTTCCACTGGTTTAATTGTCTTCCCTGTTAGGAAGTTTCTCCTTGATTCCAGGTTACTTCTGTCCTTGATTAGTTTCCATCGTTTCCTGTCCTGCTTCCTGGTGCTTTGACTCCCTCCTCTTTGTGTCAGCCCCTCAAATACTGGAATACTGCTATCGTGTCTCCTCTAGTCCTTCTTCTCTCTCAACTAGCCACACCCAGGTCCTGCCACCATTTTTCATATGTTTTAGTCTTCAGGCCTTTAATCATCCTAGTTGCTCTTCTCTGCAAGTTCTCAGAGAATCTTCTCCGATTCTGCACGGTCTGGGGACTGTGAAAGGGGTTTGCGGAGGGTCAGGCTCCTCCTGAGATCTGTTCTGCTCCAATGATCTCTTGCAGCAATTTAGCCTACATTCTCCAGTAGAGTGTTCTCCACCGAACTCATCGTGAACTGAGACGAGCTGGAGACTGTGAAAGTCGAAACCTCAACCTTGGAGGGTTCAAAATTTGGAAAAAATCGAGCAAGGTCACCACGCCTGGAAGCTTATACTCCTTAGAAGTAGCCACCCTACATCGTGCAGGGGTGAAGAACAAGCCAAGGTCCAAGCCCAGGTTCCTTCCATAGGCTGGAGGCCAATCCCAAGGTCTACCTCGCCTGAGGCAAAAGAGGATGAACTCTTTCAAGGCACCAACAAAAGCGCTTTGAAGTGACTTTAGCACTACAAGGGGCTCCCCAAAATCCTTAGCCAGACATTACTGGGAGAGGGGGGGGGTGTTGGAAGCCCCTGGGGGAATGTCGCTTCCAGGGAGGAGGGGTAGGAGCAGGAGGGGGTCTTGACTGAAAGCCCCAAAGGCAGGATGGAGCAGACAAGATAAAGCATCGGCAAGGGTTGTAGGGCAGACATCAGATCCACAAGGGTGCATTGTTTGTATATGTTGCCACACACACACACACACAAAAAAGGCCAGGGGAAGCCATAGCAGGTCCTCCTGATATGGCAAACTTAATACACAGGCTGAGCTTGCTGTTGGCCTTAACCATATGGTTTTCACCGTGATGTGAAAACTAGGTACTGTATAAACCATGGTCTATGGCTTAAGTGAACCAAGATGCTATTGTTTGTTCAATGAACTATGATCTTCTACCTTCATTCATGCAAATTTGATCCCAACTCAACCTAATCTCTTCCCTCTCTCTCTCTCTCTCACTCCTCTCTCTCACTCCCCCCTCTCCCTTCTCCACACCCTCTCCCTCTTTTTCTCCCTCAGTCTCCCTTTTTCTCCCTCCCTCTCCCTCTTTCCCTCCCTCCCCCTCTTCTCTCCCCTTTCTTCCACCCTCTCTCTCTCCCTCTCTCTTCATTTTTCTTTTTCTACTCCCTCTTTCCAACTCCCTCCTCCCTCTCCCTCCCCCCCAACTTCCATAACATAAGAGCACCTGTCTTTTGAATTTACATGGTGAAAATCTGCATTGATCTTATCTTCAGTATTGCCTGCGGGGTTGCTATCGGGTGACCAGACCTTATCTCTAAACATACCCTGGATATTTTAATATTTAGAAACATGGAAACACAGAACACTGACAGCAGGAAACGATCTAGTAGTGGTTCATCGAATCTGGCCTTTGAGTTTTATTTTGTTTATTTATTTGTTTATTATTTTAATGTTTTATTTTACTTTTCATTCCCTTAATATAAGTAGTCCTCAACTTATAACAGTTCGTTTACTGACCATTCAAAATTACAATGGCACCGAAAAATGTGATTTATGACCATGTTTCATACTTACAACTGTTGACGGCATCCCCATGGCCACAGGTGATCAAAATTCAGATATTTGACCATTGGCTCACATTTATGACGGTTGTAAGTGTCCCCAGGGGTGGTGGTCATGTGATCCCTTTTTACGACCTTTTGACAAGCAATGTCAATGGGGAAACTAGATTTACTTAACAACCATGTTAGCAATGTAACAACTGCAGTGATTCACTTAACAACCGTGGCAAAAATGGTCGCAAAATGGGGCCAATTCACTTAACAACTGTCTCACTTCACAAGAGAAATTTTGGACTCCACTGTGGTTGTAATTGTGGTTAAGTTAGTAACAAGGTTTGTAAGCTTGTGACTAATGGCTTCCCCATTGACTTGGCTTGTCAGAAGGTCGCAAAAAGGGGACCTCTGGGACATTGCAACCGTCATAAATATGAGTCAGTTGCCAAATATCTGGATTTTGATCCCGTGATTATGGAGATGCTGCAATGGTCGTGTGAAAAGCGGTCATAAGTCATTTTTTTTCAGGGCCGTTGTAACTTTGAACGGTCACTAAATGAACTGCTAAAAGTCGAGGACTACCTGTACAGTCCTTCAAATATTGCAATAGTTTTTTAGTTTCCCTTCCCTTCCCACTTGTCATTTCTCCTCTAGGCTAACCCCACCAACTGTCCTTCATCCTTTCTTCACAGATCATAATTTTCCACGCTGGTGATCTCTCTCTTCCTCTGGATTCATTACAAATTGTCCCCTTTCCATTTA